CTCCGAATTTTCGGCGCCAAACGTGTGTGGCGCGCGCAGGCCGCAGTGCCCCGTGTGTCCTTCCGCCGCGCGGGCCAGCAGTAGCGGCCGCAGGGGAGAGCAGAGCGGGAGGGAGCGCGGCGGAGGGATCCGGGCGGCGCTGACGGCCTGGTGGGCACGGGTCTGTGTGCCTCCTTACCATGGTGGTCCTGCGGAGCAGCGCCGCCCGCCCGCCTCGTATGGCTGCCCGCGACAGCCGCTGTCGCCGGCCACCTTTTGACCTCCTGGACTCGAGCTCCGAATTCATCTCCCTGGAGCCCCCCACGCTCAGGAGCCACCGCGTATGGACGCGCTCCGGGTCCTCCAGGGCCGCAGTATCCAGGGGGACCAGGAGAGCCAAGGAGGCCGTGAGTGCCGGTGGGGGTGGGGTGAGCGCGGCCTGGCGGGCAGCACTGGGCTGTGGGCCCGAAGACGCGGCGGGGGGGAGCCGGTGCTGGCCGGGAGCTGTTGGGAGGAGCTGAGAAAGAGCTGGGGAGTAGTGTTTATGGAGGAAAAAAAAGAGGAGAACCGAGTGTTTGGGGCAGGCGGCTACGGGTGTGTGAAGAAGCAGCCGGCTCGGCCCGGCTCCCGTTCCCGGCCTCCCCGCGGTAACGGGGGCTCAGCACAAGCCCTGATCCGGGGGCTGTGGCAGCATGCTGAGAGCCGGTCTCTGGGAACACAAACCTTCATCGCCTCATGGTTTGCTGTGTTTTGTCATTCCCCATCCCCGTTTATTTTGGTTCAGTCCCTCATCTGAAAAAATAACCTTGAAAAGATCTTAAAAAACTCTTTCCTTTAGCTGCAGTACTGCTTGTAGAGCTCTCTCTGTTTAGATGACAGAAATTCATCAAAACTGGCACGACACGAAATATATGGAACCTCTGAGTGCGTTCTGGTTGGCCCGAAGGGCCTGCTAAAAACTCCTTAGTCAAGTGTATCCAAATAGTAGTTTGGATGCTGTAAAAAAAATAGGGCTCATTTGTACTTAAAGTGCATAACCTAAACCGGTGAAAATGTTATTTGAGCGTTCTATAATCTTGATGTACCCTACTAGAAGAGAGACAGACAATTTGCACAATGGTAAGGGATAGATACCAAGTGGCCTGTGCTCTCTGTGTCTCAGCATTGCAACTGTAATAACTGAATCATTTCACTTTACATTGTTTTTAGCACAGTCTTCAAAGAACTAAAACTTTCCTCTGCTATTTCAAAGTCAGGCTCTACTCTGCAGGCTGTCCTGCATTTCTGTGACAAATGCAGACCAGATCTGACTCGGAAGTGGTCTGTTTTTCAGGGGATCCCTGACTTGGAGTGATGATTCTCAAAGACTCTGTTTCCTTCCAGCAGAAGTATTTCAGGAATATCAGTTGTATGGATTAATTTTACATTTTTATATTTTTTGCCATTATATTCAAGGAACAAGTGCTTATGCTGGTGGGGTTCCCCCCCTGCCGCCCCGCTTGCAAAGAGCCATGGGATCTGCTTAAAGATCAATGCTTTTTTTTTGCTGTCTCCACTAGAAATGATTGTCGGGGCTTGTTCAGCCTTTGCACAGGAGAGGAGGCTGTGCAGTGTTAGGCAGATAACACTGCTGGCATGTGTTCTCAGTGTGGAAAACGGGAATGAGGAAGCTAAATGTAAGGTCATCTCTGAAACAAAAACAGAATCATTGTTATGAAACTGGTTGTAAGGTTGTTATTTGGCTTGGGTTTGTTTTTTTTCCTTTTGTTTTTGTAGACCTTTCCTGTGCTTTGAGCATGAAGTCATTACCTTATTTGTGGGATGCTGGGCTTTGCTGGGGGTTTTAACTGTAGAGATAATATAGAAGTGCTCCATCTGACAGAGGTCATGAGAACTTGGCTTCATGTTCAAGTCCTCAAGTCATCCAAAGATGCCTCTTTCCTGTCTTGTGCAAGGACTTGGTAGTGGCAGCTTTTGCTTTTTTTTGCTTTTTTTTTTTTTTTTGGGATATCAGCATATGGTTTATCTTTAGTTATACAGCTCATTTCATCTGTGGACAGTAGGAAGTATAAAACGGGAGATGTAAGGCTGGCCAATATCTGCTAAGTTTATTCTTTTTCAGGTTTCCAGTCCCAGTAAGTTTCATGAGTCTCCCAGTGAGATCCAAAGTGGCTGCTATCCCATTGGAAGCTGTGTATGTCCAGGTCTATAACCCTAGTATAATTCCTCAAGCTGAACAAGTTTGTTCTTGTGACCTATATTTGAGGGCAGTGTGCTCCAGAGTTCCCTTTTTGTCTGGGCATTCTGACCTGTGGCCAGCAGGACCAGGGCAATGATGGCTGTGCCCAGCAACGGTGAGGCCACACCTTGAATCCTGTGTCTAGTTCTGGCCTCTCATGACAAAAAAGACATTGAGGTGTTGGAATGCATCCTGAGAAAGACAACAGAGATGGGGAGAGGTCTAGAAAGTAAGTCATATGAAGAGCAGATGAGAGAGCTGGGGGTGTTGAACCTGGAGAAAAGGAGACTCAGGGAAGAACTTATCACCCTCTACAACTACCTGAAAGGAGGTGATCAGCCTCTTCTCTCAGGTAACTCATGACAGGCCAAGAGGACATAGCCTCTGGCTGTACCAGGGAATATTCAGGTTGGACATCAGGAAGAAATTTTTCACAAAAAGGGTAGCTAAATCATAGAATAAGCCACACAGCAAAGTGTGGAGCCACCACCCCTGGAAGTGTGCAGGAAATAACTGGATGTGGCACTTAGTGCTGTGACTTTGCTCACAAAGTGATGATCATTCAAAGGTTGGACTTGATCTTGGAGGTCTTTTCCAACCTTAATGATCCTGTGAAAGTGACTTGGCAAGCTCCTCTGCCAGCTCCCTCTGTACCCTTGGGTGGGATCCCATTGGGGCCTGTGGGTGTCCAAGCGGTGTAGAAGCCCCTTGGATTATGAGGGCTTCTTTCTGCTCTCTGTCCCAGTCTGGATACCGTGAGGACTGCTGGTCTTCTGTTGAAGACTGAGGCGAAGTACTTCTGCCTTTTCCTCATCCATTGTCATACATTTGCCTGTGCATCAAGTGAAGGATGGAGATTCTCTTTAGTCTTCCTTTTCTTGCTGATGTATTTGTGAAAATGTTTTGTATTGTCTTTTATGGAAGTAGTCAGATTAAATTCTGTTTGGGCTGTGCCCCTGGTAATTTTCTCCCTGCACAACGTCCTGACATCCTTGTGGTCCTTCACTCATTATCTCCATCAATGACGGTAATTGTTGCTTGGTAACATTAGTGTGAAGAATTAGAATCATCTGGTCTGTGTTCTGCCCTTTTCAGTGTGAGATTTAGTGTGGCATACATGTAATGAGACCCTGGGTTGTAAACGGAACAAGCTGCTTCTTGTAGTCATCACAGCTTTCCTCACACAGTAAAAGTCAATAGCATTCTCCATGCAGAAACACCAGTGTGAACAACCATGGCAAACTGTATCTTGAGTTCCCTCTGGTTTTCTGTGGTTAAATGCTACCCTTCTGAAGGAAGTCTTTTTATATCCCTCTGAATGCCATTATAAATGGAACAGAGACAGGAGGAAAAATCTTCAAAAAATATTTTAATTCCACTACTAAGAGTTCTTCTGTTGGATTAAAGATCCAGAAGTCAAGCAGAAAATGAACTCGCTTGGGTTCCAGCTGCTCATCAGAGATCAGAAGAGCTGGGTGCAGCTGGGCCTAAGTTCTGGTTATAGCCCATTGGACACTAACAGCCTGGCCAAGTTCAATAGCAACTTAGGGGAT